GTTATATTACTTTTTTTCAAAAGGCCCCAGCCATTTCTCACAACAGAAAACCCAAATGAAAGAAGGAGAGGTGATGATTTCCTAGAACACTCTGTATGAAACAGTTAAGGCTAAAACGCTGTTCCTTTTCTATTTTGCTTGTGCAACCTTAAGAGTCCTAAAACCAGTGTGAAAATATTTGAACAAAGCAGAGATACTATATTTTAGTATTTCTCCATTAGTTTGGAAATGGTATAACAAAAGCATTTCTCCAAACAAAATGATGCCCTAATATGGTATTATTTTATGATCCAAAGCTTGAGAAATTATTGCACTTTGGAAGTTTGGAAAAATTGTAGCTTGAAACTTGCAGTTTCTGTATGCACAACTCTGTTTAGCATCTCACACTCCTTAGAGATGCAATAAAGTAAACATCAGACTGACAGATTCAGAGAAACCAAAATGGCTCTTCTGGGTTAAGAGGACAGATTTTATGGTCCATTAACAATCTACTAGGATTTTTATTTCAAATTTGATAACGTTGTATCTAGGGAGCCATAAAACAAGACTCACATTCTACATCAGACTGAAAACATACAAACATTATTTTCATTATGGTCTGGGATTGGAGAACCGTCTACCTTAAAGAAAAACAATTTTGATAGTCTTAATTCAAGCATAAATCAAAGTATTTCAAACCCAACATGTTCAGCCAGACCAGAGACTTCAGACTGAGCTTATCAGATAAAGCTGTGGCGTGGTTTAACTCCTGGTGGTGATTTTCTCCCTGAGAAAAAGCTGGTAAAAAAGTACCAAAGAGTCGATCAGCAGTGGCTTCAAACAATGGCAATGATTTTTTTGAAAGTCAAAATAAATCTGAAAATAAAATTAATCAAAAGGTTTTATTGCTATTTTTTGTTGTCTATGCTTAACAGTTTTTTTTAAAAAAAGATTAATTAAGGTTAAATTTGTTTAATTCAGACTTCTTTGCTTTGGTCACATTTTGCAGTAGAACTATCTACTTCATTGCAATTTGCTCAACTAAAACACATACCCTATACATACACATACTGTATAACACAGAGCTGTCTTATTAACTGCATGCATCTTGGTGACCTCATTGCGATCAAAGCTTGGAAACATTAAAGGAGAACTACTGGGCTTAAAGTAGTAGGTCTGTGAGAGCTCCACTCATCTTCCATGGAGTGTCACTTGAAGTGCAGAGGATCCAAACACTGCAACAAAGAGCTTAATGGACTCTTAATCCATCATACAAAAAATCAGTAAATAAATACTAGATGCAAGGCAGATAATTGGCTACCAAAGTAATATTCTGTTTTCTTTCTCTATGCAAGAAATCAACTCTTGCTTTTTCATCTCCACAAGAGCGAAATGAGAATGGCCAGCATACCCATCCAGAAAGATAGTGCTCTCAGTTTTAATTAGGTCTATGCAATTAATGGATGCTTTGCAAATTCAGTGCTATGAATTTATTAAAGGGCTTTATTTCGCAGGTGTTTACTAAAGTAAATAAACAAGTAAGAGCTTGTAGGAGGGTGTGAATTTGTAAGACTTATTTGCATTGCAAAATAAAGTACTTTTGAAATCTGGCTATCTTATCCTACATTAGTTTCCAAGCCCTTAGGTCCTGGATAGCATTGCGGCAGTCCATGAATCTACTAAAAGGATGATGGAATTTTCTACACCATAAGGACCTCGATGAGACATTGGGTTTGACTCAGGCACTCATGGCTTGTTTTTCAAAACCGAGTGTACACATAATTGTTGATTTGTTCGCTCATATTTTAAACCCCAACAGCACCATCTGCAAAGTGTAATTCATATACACAATTAAATAACAAAATTTGATATTATAAGATTTCTATGTCCAAATGAATTGCAACCCTCAGGCCTAATGAATTTGGTATTATCCATGATTGTAAACATAGGTACTGTGACATGAACAATCAGAATTTTTTTGAATGAAATGTGAATCATTAACAACTATTACAAACTTAGTATTAAGTGTGACCCCCCCTCTGAGCTTTAACACAAACCTAGCCATGTTCTTGGAAACTAGCAATGTAAAGTCAGTGCTTTCTGGTGGATGCAGTAGGTTTCAGTAAAAGAGCAGTAGATGATTACATTGGTTAATCTGCAGAACAACTTGGTACACCTAGAAAAAGGAACACAGCGACAGATATCAAATGCAAAATGCACACAAAAATAAATACCTGAATGAGTGTTTATAAAGACCCTATATCTCAGGGATTTAATATAGCACATTTAGTGTCACACAAAATCTTCTCTTATCTTTGAATGAATCACTTTTCTGGAACACACTAAAGACTAAAGAGTAGTGCCTTTCAAAAAAGCCCATGCCCAGTATTTTCAAACAATGTTTTATCTAGTGACGTCCTGATCAGACGGTTTAAAATATTTTAACAAAGGCAAATGTGTTCTTCTCTTAACACAGTATGGTTTTCTGCACTTACAAAGCAACAGGAACGTAATACAACAACAGTATCAATGTGGACACCTCAGTCTCAGACCTGCAAAGATATACTCAGATTGGAGGACTTCATATTAGACTATAATTAAATAGACAATGCTCATCTCATCCACCTCTGAAAATCACTTTTCACATTTCATGCATTACTAAAGTGTAACTGCCAAGACAAGAGTCTTTTTTAAGATGCAGTTACCAACCCTGAACACTGAAGAGGATCAGTGTGACCCAGGCCTTGCAGAGATTAAAGTAATCACCTGCTCTGCCCTGTTCCTGCTCTTTATGAATTTTAAAAAGCTAGCCACCTGTAGCTAATTAGTTCACATGCAGTCAAGTAATTTTAATGTAGCTAAATCATGATGTACTGAAGTAAAATCATATAATCCTTGTTATGTGGTCAAACTGATTTGTCTATCTATTCTCCTTCATCAACATGTTCTCCTTCTTCTAAAGTGCACTTGGAAGAAACAAAGGTAAAGTGCAGTCTCTTTAAATGTAGTCTCCCGTCTCCAGTCACACATTAAGTACTTTGAGCAGAAGTGAACAGATGTATTTAAGCAATCAAGAGGAGTGTATGGAAAGATCAATATCTACTGTCTGACTGTTGTGGGCAGTAAAAACAAAGCCACGCTTGGTCCATGGCATAACTTTGTCACATCACCTGTTTGCCAACGTGTCAGTGGCATTTACTGTATGCAAGTGATGAGCTTAATGAAGCAGAAGGAAGAAATAATGGGACACTTTCTGACCAACTGTACCCTGGGAAACTGCCTGCCCATCTGTTTTGAAATATTAAGTACAATAATGTTCCAGTGATTATAAGCAAGTTCTGATCATGATTATTATGACAGCAATACTGGATTTACTGCAGGCTGTACCAATAAGCAAAACCACCTATCAGGCAGTGTCCCCTGCGTAAAATTAAACAGAGGTCCTGAGTACTTGCTCAGTAAAGTTGGTATGTTAAATGGAGTTTACAACGAAAATTCGGGAGGGATGGCAACAGCGAAGTTCAATCAGACTCAGCTGTCAGTAGTTCGCAATGACTCTTGCTGTCATTTCCTCTTCTGAACCACTATAAATACTGTGCGTGATCCCCTTCTTTCCCTTGCATATGTCTTTTTGTATCCAGACTCCAGTCCATCTCCACCTCTGCAGCTGCCCCTTGGTCACTCCTCACTCTGCAGGAGTGCACCCAGCCTTCTCGAACCTGTGGCCAGGAGGTCAGCCCCCAGCTAAGTGGGTTAAGCCAAATCTTGACTCTCCACACTCCATGACCTTTCAGTACACTTAATTCTTGGGTGCTGTTATTTCTAGTAAACCTTGAAGTCTTGGATAAATTCCACTCCAGGATTGCACAATCTGTCCTCTTTAAAGATCCCCTGAAATTGAAAAAAACCCTCGTTTTTATTACCTGGTCTGATTTGTAGTGGAGCTGCTGGTGCTCAGTGGTTGTCACATGTCACCCAGGTGGGTGCTGGTCTTCAGTGGTAATAAAGTGTGTCTGCTCCTGTATGTGAAGCCTTCAGTTCTTGGGGGACATACTGTAAATTATTGAAATGCAAGGAATTATCATCATCTTTTATATTAGCCAGTTAAGACATGTTCCTGCACATGAGATCATTCTGGATGAGCAGCACTGGACAAATGAAACATAACTGTTTGAGGTAATGAAAGAAATAACATAAATATTCATAATCAGAACACCTCATTCACCAAGGAAGCCCATTTAATAACCACAAATGTGCATTAAAAAGCTTAACTGGCCGAGTCAAGTCGTTTCCCCCTTAAAATACTTACAAACCAAAAGTAACATCAATAAATAACAGCAGCTGACACTGTTGGACAGATTCATGGTTGTGAACATGCACTCCATCAAATTAATTGTCATTATCTCGTTTTTCCAAGTCTGTGGTGGAAGGAAATGGATTATTCTCATGTGTAATTAAAATATGCACTTGGCTGTTAATATAGTTGACTATATACTGTTAATATAGAGTCACTGAATTTAATCCAGATCACTGTGCCGATTTAAAATGGAGCAAAGGTATTCAGAATAAGAGAGTCCACTATCAAAAGGATTACATTTCCAAAGAACTACAGTATTTACAGTACCTTTAGTGTTATAAACTCTTTCTGCATTTTCAATGGGGGGGGGGTACATGCAAGAAGGTTTGAAAGACAGAAAATAATATAGTACTTACTGTATATATGGGATTAATTTTAAAAAACAAGTATTTAAATCAAGGATTTTTTTTTCAAATTCATGCTTTGCCACAAAATGACAAAAGGTGCCTAACATGCAGAAAACATGCCTAACTCATTAGTTTTTGCTGCTAAATTAAACTGTCAAAACGGGAGAAGAAGCACAGTAACTTTCCTAAAGATGTAATTAACAATTATTATTTTCTTTTTTTAAATTACACACTTCTGGGTGTTATTTTCATTAAGAAACATAATATTCACATCATATACAAACTTTGTCACAGGCTAAAAGAGATCACAATAAGTCTTATTTGGGAGTAATTTATTTCAGGAGCAACAGTGTTATAGTTGATCTGCATGGTAAACAGTTGACACAAATTTTATATCTATAACTACATACTAAAAATAGCAACAATAACTAGTGCTTGTAGACATGTTGAGTTAGACTTTTCCCAGTAGATCAACAAAACTGAAAAAAAAAGTAAAAACAAAATACTGTTCTTAAACTTTTAACACTTATTATCAAATGAAAAAATAAATACTGATTAATGTGTAATGCAATACAAAAACTTTGGCTTTCCTTTAATGGTAATACTCAACAAAAGCTTGTAATCTATGTAATTCACTGCACATGAAGAAAGAATCACTTTGCGAAATCTTGTTACAAGCCAGTAAATAACACTTTCACATTTTCTTACTGATGCATAAAAGAGCTGTCTAGGTCAACACAGAGAGTTAAATGGGACTGCAACTCTGTATTTTTCCATGAACAGTTGGTACCTAGAACAGCTTAATTACCTCTGATGTACAGGATGACAGCAATTAAGAACAAGCTGAGTGTTTTATCTCAGAGTACCTCACTGAAGGCCACTGTGCCAACAGCACCTGCCCAAAAGCCTTCACAGTTCTCTAGAGAAAACCTGCTCTTTGGAAACTAACAAGATTTTCTTGAACCCCATTTATTTTCTATTTAGTTTGGCTTCAGAGTACCTCTCTTAATTTCTGGCTATTATTTTTGAAAACAAGAAAAAAAGCGGGCTAGGTAACATACTGTAGATAAATCTGCTTGCCCATAAACCCTCAGTTACCTCCCAGTTCTGAAGAAATTAAAATGCATCACTGAAACACAGAAATAAACACTTCCTTCCACATTTAAGAAACTCATGATGCTCATGGAGCATTCTGCAATAAATTTAATACATTATTTGGTATCAGCATCATGCATCTGCTCAGCTGCAAGAATTGCACAATCCACCCTCCTTGTACATTTTTTTCCTTCACAAAAGAACAGTTTAAATTTGAACTTGACACCTAATGAAGAAGAGAAATGCAGGACAATATATTATCAGTAGGCTGATGTGCTTCCTCCACCCACTCAGACTGCCTGCTGGATGTGAGCACCCAATACTCTGCATTGAGAAACCCATTGCCTTAACTACACAAACCTAAGAAGTTCTTTAATTACTCTCATGAAGGAGAAGAAAAGGGCTACTGTCAGACACAATCAGGTCTGATCAATCTCTGTTTATGTGTTCTGAGTGCTGGAGAATGCCCTTCTCCAACATTGCTCTTTCAAAGGCTGCGTGTCAGGAAGGAGGCTCGGGTGCAGCTATGTCACATTGAAGGAAATAAAGGTGCTGGGTGACTTTCCTCGATAGCTGCTTTTCTCCGTCTTTCCCCAGCGTCTTCCGGGGTCCTGGCTGCCGGTGGTGGTCTGGGGCTGGGGCTCACTGACGTGTGAGACCTCAGTGGAGCCGGCGTCCACTGTGCTCACCGTGTTGGCCACCTGGACCACGTGGACTTTGTTGATGACCTTCTTGCGCAGGATACAGCTGAAGACCTTCTTGAAGCCCTTCCGAAAGTGCTTGGACACCAGGGCGTAGACAATGGGGTTGAGGCAGGAGTTGGCGTAGGCAACCAGGTGGGAGAGGATGCGGAAGATGTAGGTGGCCTGGTTGAGGGGGAAGTAGCCGAACCACAGGCACAAGATGACCAGGTGGTGGGGCAGCCAGCACAGGCAGAAGAGAACGGCCACAATGATGATCATCTTGGTGACCTTGCGTTTGGCTCTTCTGGACTCTGACATGTCTTCCAGAGGATCCACAGCTGTCCACAGGTAGCGGATGGTGCGGGCATAGGTCAGGCTGAGGATGAGCACAGGGATGAGGTACCCGAAGACGAAGGTGCAGATATCCATGACCTTGCGATGAGGAACTCCCCATACTGGGATGCAGACGACAGTCCCGTTCAAGTTGATTTGCTTGTAATAGCTTAGGTAGGGGCCAGAGAAGATGAGTGACAGCCCCCAGATGAAGCAGATTGATGTCAGCGCGTTTTTGGGAGTCCGCAGCTCCCTGGAGCGGAGAGGATAGCGAATTGCCAGGTACCTAGAAAAACAGCAGGGAAAATTGTAAGAAAGACAAACAAAAACGATAACCCACTCGTCCAGCTTGCGTAGACTTTTTCACCGAATAGCGTTTCTGCAATACAGAGAAAACCAACACATACTATTTTATTATTTCCAGTTTTTATTTTTTTAATCCTAAAGAGCTGTTAAAAAACTTGCAGGATATTCGTATAACATACAGTACGTCTGTCCCAAGTCTTTTCAGAGTTTACGTATTGAAAAAACAGAAATGAGAGAAATATTTTATTCTTAGATCCACTCCAGAAATAGAAATTTTACTTTTGAAATAAACTCCTATGGTAGTAAGGCACACTTAATGTGTGTTGTCTGAATGTCAGTACTGTAGGTGCATTTTGAGAGCCATACAATGATTAATACCCTGATGCTGACAGTGAAAATAACTTCTTTTATTGCTCAAGAAAACAAAAAACACCATGAAACCATGAACATCATACAAATCAGACTAAAATCGGGAGGCGTTTTTTGTTTTTCATGTGAATGACTGTATTTCATTAACTTTTTAATGACCTCTATATATTGTTCTGTTCATGTAAATTAATAACGTTTTGCATTTTTCATTTGAGCGTTGTCTCCTTTGACTGTTTAGACTTAAGGTAAAAATACTCCGGGCCAAACGGCTTTGAAAATCACTTTGAAAAATGAATCGCAGTTTATTATTATTATTATTATTATTATTGGTACTGACGTTCTAAACGTTGTGGAATCAGTTTACGCAGTGTAATTTAATATAACTTACGTTTACTTCAATTGTGATAATAAATCTTTAAATTTATTTTTACAACCCATGCGTATAGCGGGCTAACAAAACGTTCGTTAAACCTCCCTAACACACCTGAAAAGACATCATCAGATATAAAGGATTTACTCCTCGTTGCAACCATTGACAGCTAAACAGCTGAGAAATGGAAAAGAAAATATTATTGGCATCCTTTCAGTTAGAGATACCTACAAGTGCAATTTAAAAGGTGTTGGGTTAAAGCGCCGTGCAAGGCGAACTACTGTACATACTACTGTACAGCATGTGCGCTTACCTACCTGTCGAGCGAGACCGTGGCCAGTGTAAAGATGCTGGCGTACATGGTGAGGTAAATGAAGAAATGGACAGCTTTGCACACCAAGGGACCGAAGATCCATTCGTCCATGGTGTAGATTGTGGCTTGGAAAGGGACACAGAAAACGATAAAGCACAGATCCGCAACTCCCAGGTTCAAGATAAAAAGGTTGGTGGTATTGTTGTTCATCTGACCGTTGCGGAGTAGCACGGCCAGAACCAGGCTATTCCCTACAGTCCCAACCAGGAAAATGAGCGAAAAGACCAAGGGGATGATCACTGACTCCGGTTTCCAAGTTGAGGTCGTGAAGTTAAACTGAGTCGATATGTTCATGGTTCTTTCTGTTCCCCGTCCAGACCCAAAAGAGTTATTCAGGATTCTCCAAGTTTAGTTCACAAGCTCACCCGGAGAAGAAATGAGAACACCCACTTCACATTCCAGTGTCATTGAGAGCCTATTTTACACTGTTCAGAATCCCCCCTGACCGTAGTTTTGTTAACCTTTTTTTTTCTAATACAGCCCGTGCGTCATTTGTAAACACTGTCACCCTTTGCGTTTAGCAAAACACGAGCCCTGAAGTCAGTATTCTGCTCAATGCATTGTTTCCTGCGAAGCAATGACAACGTAGTTTCAGATTTTCAAGTTATCAATATGTGGTTCAGATTTAAAGCATTTCAGTCAAACCTGTTTCCTAAGCTTTTCACACACCGATACTGTATATAAGAATAAAGAACACAAAAAGCCGTAGTCTCTCTAGAGTCTCAGCTGGAATCACTGCGCACTCGCTCCGATTCCGCCTACTGTATGTGCAGCTCTTGTCTTCGCCTCTCTGATTTGCATCAAGGTCTAAATCCAACAGGGTTAACAGTTCGGTACATAATATATAAATAACGCCAAGACGCACTTAGTTACCAGGGAGACAAAATCTCAACAAAATTAATGGTGAGCTTCAAAACCAGTCCCTCATGACAAACCTAAATTTGTCTCTTTAGAAAAAAAAATCTTAAAGCATGTAACGCGCTTTAGATTGATTACCAATTTGAAGAATAACCCCTCTTCTGCTACGTCCGAGATTTTACACCATTGAAACTTATTTTTATAGTTATTCAAAGAGACAAAACAGACATGGGACCCGCCTAAGACACTTACTATAAAACTATTGGCTTTAATGGCCAATATAATAATGAACATTATGTACTTTATATATCATACACTTGCATCATAGAATACAACAGTAGTTCTCTTCAATTTAACAAAGTTTATTAAAGACCCTAGACCCTGTATTCACAAGCTTTGACAAGATTTAGAAACCTTAAATCTCCACCAAGAAACCTCCATCTCCACCAACGTACAGTAATTCATAAAGTGTAACCAATATGTGACTGTCCGATCGACCAGATTTCTAATTGGCACAGAGCTCTTCTCAAATTGGGTCACCAAACACTGAACATCCCTTAGATATAGAACAAGACCCAAACACAGGGGTGGCACTAACTTCCCATTCCCTTCCCAAATGGAATGATAGTTCATAGCAAAGAAGAGAACAGGCGAAAAGCCCTGTGTGGGGATGTAGGAAGTATGGGGATATAGTGAGATGTAGCGAGTCTTCACATCCTGTGTGTAGTCAACCACACAAAGCAGGAGCTTATAAAACCCCAGCAGGTTATCCCAATCTAAGATATACAGTGAAGTAACTCCAATACTATCAATAGTGCAAAAACTTTAGAATCAAAATCAAAGACATTTTCGTTGACTAAACAGAAGTTAAAGACAGCCCTGAAGGGGCAGAAAACAACTTCATGACATAATTAAACCAGACTTACTGTACCTTGGAACCTCCGAAACATTCATGACTTTGACTGTATGTGGAAGAAAAAGCAGCTAATAGTTAACTTGGGTATTATAGAATGATTACTATTTTGATACATATATTTGAAAATAGGGCAAATACTTCATACTATTGAACCATGCAGTGCTGCAGCTTGCTCAATTCGGAATAACATTTTTGCTGGTTAATATAAAAATTAAAAACACATAGATGTTTTCTTTAAACTAAATTTTGGATTACAGAAGCAGGGCTTCAAGAAGATTGCACACGGCTCACTCAAGCACTCTGTTGCTCTGGCCCTGACAATGGAATTTGCTGGTGATAGGGTTCTCCTTGCCCACACAGCAAGCAGATAAACATGGCCATGATGGATCAGGCTGGAGCTTCTGTGTTACCGTAAAAAGGAAATACCACTTTGAGCTCATCTGTCATCATCTTGAAATTAAAAAGCTTTCCAGTCTCTCTTTGCCCTCTACATTCTTCTAGAGATCCAACATGAGACACTCTGATTTATCATTATGCTAAGTCAGACTTTGCTCACTTTATTAACATGGTGATAGTGAGGATTAGCGAGATCATGAATAAGCTTTAAACTAAATATGTCAGTACCATATGAAAACAGCACAAAGTGTGACAGCAGAAAAAATCAGACGCCCAGGCTGTGGACAATTTCTCATGTGTGCCACACTGGCGTTCTTCGGTTCTGGGAGAGCAATTGGAAACATTCATTTTGACACTGTGTAGGAAACGTGAACTATGTTTTTAGGACTCATTTACAGCTGATTGTATTCATATTTTAAAGAATTACTTTTATTGCACAACACTGTCACTGTATTAGTTCTGTTGCACAGTGTAGAGTACTAATAATCTACACTGTGTTGATGCAAAGCCTCTAACTACAGTTATGACTGAGAAATTCAATACTCATGTTACTTTCCCCATTTTAGTTCTAAAACTTTGAGAATGGCAAAGAACACAAAACACCTCCTCATAAAGCTTAATTAATAAAAAGTGCTTGAGCATTCTCTACTAATGACTCAACACATTTTGTTTTATATTAGGGAGACATTAATTAAAAGTGTATGAATCAAAAATGAATAGAGTTTTATCTTTGTAAAAATGTTATTCTCCAGATACATCCACATATGGTCCCAGAGTACTGTAAGTCCATGCATTAAAGGGTAACTGCCGTCTCAATTTCTCATTAAATCTTGGTTACAAAATAAATTCTTTTACGGTATAGAAACATTTGAGAAATTTCGATTTAAGCACAAAATTATGAACTATGTGAGTCACTGTGATGTTACAAACCCCTAGTCTCATCACTGTCAAGAGTGAGAGTTCCCACGAATTGTGATGTGATGTGGCCTTTCCTGCTCACTAGTCACTGAAATGACTAATGTACTGTGATGTACGAACAAATAAGAACAGGTTGTGCAGCAGACATATCCCTGCATTAATGTTCCAACGTGATATATATGCAGAGTTAATAAGTAAGTACCATTTATCGGCAGAACCATCTTGAAGTCCAGAGCAATATTTCTGCTGGATTAAAAGACGTGTATTCACAAGCCTGCTTCTTTACAATGTGATAGGACCGCTTCAACGTCATCAGAAATTTTGTTTGCCTTGTTCTGAATCGCAGACTATGGTGCTTCGCATACTTAGAAATTTTGTTTATTTTCTCATATGAATGGGAGGTTTTACAAGTTACTGTGTACATTTACCTTTTATTGTGACTTGAAATGCACTCATCAGTGCTGATAGTTTCTAAGACCAAAATACAAAACAGAGTTGCAGTTCCCCTTTAAACACATTCTCCAAAGGCTGCTCTTAGAAGTACAATTATTACAATTAATTACTAAGCAGCTGTACAAAAGAATTTAAACTAAGATAAAATTGTGGAAATTCACCACAAAGTTTTAAAAATTTCAGCTTGGAGAAGAAAAAAGCCTGGATGAGATAAAAGGGCACAGAACAAAATACATATCCAATCTATAAAAATGAAGTCATGATATGCAAACCTTGAGTACTGTGGTCAGGTTTTAGAGATCAGTTTTTACCAGCTTGTTAGCCATCTTTAGGTTCACAGACACAGGTGTAGTCAGTCACCAAATGACTTCGCTGTACTGTAGTTGTAAAGGGCATTATGTGCACATTTGCTGGCTTCTGTCATACACTTGAATTGTGTGCCCTCTAGTGTTATGTCTGGGTAGTGCCTCGTGCATGTTCTATTATTACTATACTTATGTCAGGATGTCTTACTGGAGAAAAAACTTGCTTTTTCTTCTTACTCCATTTCTGGAAAGAAAGCAGTGCTACCCTGAAAACCCCTGTCTTCTTGTGAAAACTACTTAACACTGCAGAATTCAGAACTTTACCATATCAGCCAATAGTATGTACATGCATGCATGAGAAGGTATAGGAGCACTTAAAATGTCTATTTTTCAAAGAATTTCACTTCTGGTTTTCTTAAAATGAAATTTATTTTAGTGGTTATATAACTGTATCAGATATGTATTATCGTAACATATTTGTAGATTTATGAATTCAGTGCAGATGTGACCTTTGGGTATACTGCCCAATAACATTACTTTCTGAGAGTATATACAGTAGAAGACAAAACTCATTTTTACAGCATTTCTATATATACCTTTTTATCTGAAGAACTTGCACTATATTACCAAAAGGGGGAAGCAGAGTCTTTCTTACAAAATAAAGTCTCAGCAATTTCTGCAGAATTAAGCCATTACCCATAGGTACAGAACAGTACAACACAGTTCACCAAACATGTCTATACAGGTATATATACACCTTACTGAATTTCATTTCTGAAAGCAGTAGGTGTTGGTGCTTTTAAAACAACAAATCTGCATATAAATAAATTGTTATTGGATTCATGTTACTTGCAACAAAAGTATAAATATAAAAAGTTTGAATGCAATTTGATAATGTACAAAGGGACTGGGGTTGGGTCCATGTATTTCTCACTGTCTCTCACACAAAACACAAAAACGTATCTTGGAAAAAGTCTTCTCTATAGTAGGAAGGCAAATATTCTAGGAAGGGGCTCAGAAAAATAAGAATCAGGACAGAGACGTGTTGCCTTTTGGTTTGCTAATCATGCCAACAATGTCAATGTGCAGCGGTGCGGTGCTTCAGATGAGTCCTGTGTTTGTCATGGCAGAATGACTGGCTAGTGCCATGTTTTGGCTGACCTGTGGTATAAGGTGGCCCTCTATGATAGCAATCTGACACGTGAAGGACTTAACTACACACGCCTTTGCAGTGGAAAGGTGGCACAGATTGATGACGGGCAATGCTGAAACAATGTCGTTCTCTCATGGTGGAATTCAGTCACCCTTCTGTCACTCCCTGACCCTCTCTGCCTCTCTGTTTCTGTTCCCTTCGTGAAGCCTGCAGCTCTTCTCTCATCCCTTGTTTCTCAGATTACAGTGTTGTGTGACTGCATTTCGTGGTCTGGCGTGTCAGGTGCTGAAAAAACAGCGGTTTCAGTACGGAGAATGGAGGCAGCAGGAATCTGGAGGAAAATTGGCAGTGCCTTTGTAATGACAGTTAGAGCAGATGCCCCAAGGAGGAAATTACACCATATGGCAGTTTCCTCTCTCGGTCAGGCAACGTTCAAAAGTTCAAAGCGACTTGGGAGAGCGCGAAGTAACTGGACCCGACAGATTTATGGAGGCCACACATGGGAATATTTTAAACTCCAATCAGTATAAATCATTAACGTGCAGAAAAAAAAGGAGACAGATTTATACAGGTTATTACATAGCATGATGAAGAAACTTTTTATTAAATTCAATTTACAGGACAAACCGAGAGACAGGCTGTGTCAGCCAGGTGAGTGAAGCTTTCCGGCCAAGATCTGCTCCGACATGGAACCCAATGGGAAACTTGTGCCATTTACGAAAGGAAAAGCACATTCCAAACCAACAAGGACTAGTGACTCGACCGCTCT